ATTATAATAATATTTTACCTGTATGTAGCTCAGACCTCTGTACAGAGACTCAACTAAAGTTTTTGAAATATATAACTTAGAAGTGGGTTTATCCATGTTTTACGACAACAGAGGGGAGAAATTTTAAGAAAAAAACGCCGATAATTATTTCAATTGGTTGTAACTCTGAAAATAATGTGACTTTTTAAGAAATCATGGGGCTGAGCCTCTTTACAGAAGTCTGAGCTATATACAGGCAAAATATTATTATAATAGAAGCATTTTTCACAAACGGAGAACATTTTAAAAAAGGTTATTTTAAGTTAATTTTTTATCGAAATATTGTATTTAAATAATTTTTTTTTGTCACAATGCCCTCAAAACAATTTTATACGTGTATTCTAATCTAAGTGACACTAAATATCATGAAAATTGTCCATTTATGCGCTTTTGCAAAATCACGGTTCCGAACGTAGTCGGATACCTTAAAATATTTCACAATGTATTTAAGTTCAGCAACAGTAATGGAATTGAAACCTTTAAGGGCAATTACAGATATCAAAAATAGAATTGAAATTGATAAAAATTGGCACACTCTTCAAATGTTTTGATGATATCGGAAACTTTATCCAATCCTTGATTTTTCAGCTAACAGTTTCAAAAAAAAAGAAATTGAAATATTTAAATACAAAGAAAAATTTATTACAATTTAATAATCATTCATTAATAAACACATGATTACTTATTTCCTACAATTTAATGTGTACCCTCCTCTCCCCTCATAAACATATCTCCAACATAATGACATAGATATAAGCCAAAATTTTAAGTTGTAATTTTTGTTTACTTTGTAACTATTACTCTTCAAGCTGGGCTGAAAATAGAGTTTAATTTCATCGACACGATTATTTCATTTGCACAGTGATATAAATTTTATCAGTAGATTTTGCGAACTGAGAGATCTCAATTTTTCTCTTTTATACATGTGGGAGTCCGAATAAAATCTTCCAATAAAAATCAGACTCTTCATAAGTCGGGATTTTAAATTGGCGAGGTGGTTGTCTAGGGGTAAGTATTAAAGGGTTAGTGATGAATTAATGGAATTAAAGTCATTTAAACGCAGATACTCCATTTAAGTAAAAAAAGAATTTATTTCAAGTTAAAGGGGAAAATTTTCAAGGGGAATATTTACAAAGGGAAAGAGACATGCAAAAATTAGGTTAATTGAAAGTTGAGTTATACCTTTAGAAGACGGGGAAATTAATTACCTTTCTCATGCTTGGACGCTTGGACTGAAATCACGCTGGGCGCGAAATGCGCAAAAAACGTGACGTGTTGAACCGGCGGGGTTTAGTGGGCCTCTGCCAAAAAATTATTCAAGCCGGTGCTCCGAAAGCTCACCAGACGGCGCTGCCTCGGAATGCGGTAATAAATAAAATTCACATTAATAGTCCTCTGAAAAGGATATGACTCAACTTTTTACAAAATGGTTTCAAACGGAAAATTCTACATACATTTGCCAAAATCTTTATTTCTATATGAAGAGGTACCTGTAGCTATTCTCCTTATACAGTAAGATTTTAATTTCTGATTATTCATTTCTTTAAAAAAATAAGGTAATTAAATGAACTATAGTTTTATAAACTACTGAGGCTAATAAAATTATACATCATGGGGGCAGTTGTGTTATTGCTTTTGGAAATTTGTAAAACAAGGTTTTCAAAAATCTCTGCAAAATTTCAAAAACCTGGTTTTCGATTTTTTTTAATATTAAAAACCAATTAACCAGTTTTTATTGTTTAATGAAAAAATATTTATAAATAAATAAATTAAATAGAGAGTAAAACATGGGTTATAAATATAGAGTAGGTATAAGCTGAAGAAAATGAATAAAAATATACAACACCAATTTAGAAATTATATAATGATTTTTAATAGTCTTTTCTCTTCTAAACATTTAATAAATGCATTTTGTAATAAATTACAGAGTAATGCTTGACTCCACGCATAATCAGCCATGTATTGCGTATTTGACCAATAACTCTCCCAAAGATTCTCTTTTGATGAAATAAAACATATATGTGTTGTTTTTGCTTTTTTGACTAGAGGTTTATCATTTTTCATCCTTTTTGCGGGGTGTGATAATTTGGAGAGAGGAGTGTCAACCTTATGTTGCTTTATAATACGACTTTAATACAATTTTCACAGCATTTTTCATGACATCAATATTATGTTTTACTCGGATTTTAAAATTGAAATGCACATGGAATATTTTGCCATATTTTCTGTGTCTTTTGGGAATATTTTTCATATTCTTATTTTTTCCCCTACTCAGCTTAAAATAAGATACAATTATTTGTTATCATTGTTGTGAGTATAAATTCTTTACTCCAAAATTACCGTAAATATACTTGCAACGTAACTTTGTGACGGGGCTTTAACGCGTCTTCACACTAATCCTCTTGGAGAATCTTTGGGGCCAGAATTGAGTTATTTCAATCCAATCCTCTCAAGAAGAAACCGTGATATGCAGATTAGTTAATAGATATATAATGGAGCATTAGCATTCGCGTGGTGGTAGAATAGTAGTAGAATAGTATAAGAATAGAATAGAAGAAGACAGAAAGCTGAGATGCTGATCGCCGTGAGCTATTGGTAAGATATTAAATATAGAAGTGTAACTATAGAATGGACTTAAGCATGTTAAGGAATCTAAGGTAGATAAAGATTCTTAGGGTAACTTTTTATAAAGATAGTGATTAGGATTTCAGGCACTATTTACTTAGAATTTAAGATTACGTTGTATCACTCATGATTGAAGCCCTATAGTAAGATTTGTGTTGTGTTGATCAATATATTTAGACAATAATAAATTAGATTTATTATGGAGAATTTGGGTGATCAATCATTTCCTCCTACAAATCTAGGTCAGATAGATGAAGATATGATACCCCCAGGCAGGGGGGATATCACAACATAAAGTGTAATTTATGTAGTATACTAGCTGTTACTTACCCACTTCGCTTGGTATTTCATTACGTTGTATAACTTTTATTGTTTTAAGTTGCTGATATCTAAATCTTGACATTAAACTTTTAATTCGACAGAAACGCATTCATATAGCCCTCAATTTTTGATGTAAAAAGGACAGGAATTAAGCTTTTAAAGCGAAAGTATATTTACCCTCATAGCCTCTCCCTCGGAATGATTTCCGCTAAACCCGTTGTCAACAATTCTCTACTCAATAACAAAAAAAAATAGTCTGTAGGTCTAATGGTTTTATCTAGGTCTATGGTGTAATTTTTATATATATATATTGTCCCCTAAACCCTCCTTTCCACACCTTATTAGCCTTCCTTACCTCAAATTCCACAAAATCCGTTTTTAGAGGGTCTCTACTCAACAACATAAAGTAGCTTGCCAAGTTTCAGGTCTATAGATCTAATAATTCAAAAACAGGTTTGTGCCCTTAAGGTCCCAGTAACCCCGCAACCTTTTTTCGAAGGTTTATTTTCGGAAAGCTTGCTCTGCAAGAATCTCTACTCAACAAAAGAAACATGCTTGCCAAATTTCAGATTTGTTAGTCGAATAATTCGAGAACGGGAATTGTTGTCTATAACGCCCCAGTAGTCCTCCTTAGAAAGCGAATTTTACAATACCCGTTGTTAACGGTTCTCCACTCTATAAAAGAAACATCCTTGCGAAATTTCAAGTCAGAAAGCCGAATAGTTACGGAGATCTCGTAATGAGTGAGTGAATGACTCACTTTTCTTATATATGTATATGTCGATTGCGTATGCAGGAAGAAAGAATATTCAATATTTTTACAGATACTGCAACATAAAATCCATACCAAGAAGAAAATTTTTTTTGTTTTCCTGTTGTTTTTTTAATTGATTCAACTAACTCCTATATAACAAGGCGCTTCTATAGCATGGATTAACTCTAGCACGGTTCGAGAATTAAGAATATCCCAGGATAACACGGAACATTTATAGCAGGGATTTATTATGAAACAGCTGTAGAATTGGATAAAACCCCTATGCAACATAAAACGTAATAAAAATTATTAAAAGTGAGCTTTATCTAATTTCAAATTAGGAAAATCCACTTCCAACAGCTTAATAAACGTGATAAAACATTTAATTGTTAATTAACCTCATTTAGCATTCATCCAAGCACGTATCATATCACATTTCCCCAGAACTTTTCTGAACTATAAATACATCACATTTTCCCAGAATTTTTCTGAACTATTAATACTTCAGGACACTTTAAAACTTTAATTGTGTCTACTACATTAAAATCTAAAAATAGAAGGTGAATAATCTGATAAGGAAACTACCGAAATTTTAATACAATGGAAATAAAAAGAATTATTAAAGAGGATGGACATTCAACATTCCAGGATTTTAATGCCGTCTAGACTATTCACTCATGGGGGAAATGCCCTAGAGGATTTTTACAGCGAAAATCGTTTAACACGAAACTGGGGTATTTTTTCGTGTTCAAAGATATTGGGAAAAACATATATTCAACAAAATTAAGTTTATTAGAGTACATTTTATTTGCATTAGTATGTATATATGCATGTATTTAGTAAACACCAATGATACAAAAACATTCACAAGAACTTAATGAAATGTAATACAAAATTTTCAAGTTTTTTGAAAAACAAAACTTTTATTGAGCTTTTAGAAAATAATTTGATACTTATCTTTGCATTTCTTTTGTTCCTACTATTAGTTCACTCTCTCCCTGTATATATATATATATATGTGTGTGTGTGTGTGTGTGTATATATATATATATATCTTGTTCAAATTTTCAATCGTTAATAAAATAATTTCTATTTATCCATTCAAATTCAAATAAATTTTTTGAAACTTGTAGTGGATAACACTTAATATTAACACATTTTTACAAATGTTAATTCATTAATTTATTTAAAAAATGAGTAAATAGTAACCAACAGAAATAATAGCCCAGCAGCATACATGGAAAGGAAAATCGCTCAATGTGTCCCTGTAGTGCAATGGATAGCACGTTGGACTTCTAATCCAAAGGTCTTGAGTTCGAGCCCTACCTGGGATGGCCTTTCTGAGAATGTGATTTATGAATGAATAAATAGTAACCAACACAAAAATAATAGTCCAATATCATATATAGAAAGAAAAATTGCATTGAAAATAGCTTTCTATTTTGTCACTTAATATTGTGATTCTGTCATATGTATATACATATTTATATTAATTGTTACTATTTAATAAAAAGTAACTAAAATAAAAATTTTCTTTGCTGACCTAAGTAGGAATTGACTTTAAAAAAATTATTTTATATTACTACTTTTTTTCATTTCACCATTGAAATGTATGTTTAAATAACTCAGCAAACTTTTTATGATGTTCCTCATTTCGAATGACGTAGAAGCAGGTGCTGGTTCATTTCATTTTTGTCGTCGGAATTCGCATCAGTGATATTTTTGAGGCTTGGACAAACTCCAAAATGTCTTAGTCTGCCATAATTAGGGTTGTATACACATTATCATCATCTACTGCGACGAATTCTTCAGATGATTTAGTGGGACAGTTCAATAATACAGAAACATACGAATAATACAGTGGTGTTTGTAGTGGTGGAAGGAGAAAGTAGCTTATTAGGGGAGGGCACGACTAAGGAAATTCATTTGGGATCGTGACTTGGTGTAATAGTAGTACTCCTTTAGGGTGTTCACCCCTCAATGTAATTCTGCCGAATGGCCAGTCAATTCGGAGAAATCAGCCCTCGAAATTCCTTCTTAGCTTTTATACAATTAAATTTTAATTTTGCGGAACACTGCCCTAAAGGAGCACTACTATTACACCAAGTCTCGATCCCAAATGATTTTCCTTAGTCGTGCCCTCTTCTTGTTAGATAAACAAAATTGGCTCGTGTCACAGGCTATTCCGAGGGTATTTCAAAGTCAATTAGCTTCCTTTCTTCGAAACATGTGCCCCCCTGTTTCATACCCCCTTAAATTTGACCCGTGCGACTGGTGTTTTCTGTATTTTGTCCCATCATCCCGGAAGAGAAATCTTTTCGTGTAAAGCGATTTTCGTTTCGTGTTGAGAGAATTAAAAAAATGCACGTGAAAATACAAAGTAGTTTGTCGGTACCATTGTGTTATTTCGTGTTGACCGATATTTAATCTTAAGCGTTTTCGCGTTAAACGTATTTCCCTGTATTTCTAAAGATGAAAAAGTTCGTTTTTATAATTCTACTGTCATGGTTTATCGAACACGGGTGTTGGAGGGCTCGACTAAAGATCAGCTATTTTTCAACTAACTCAATTTTATTGCTTATATCACTTTATAGACTTAATCAACTTATGAGAATGCACTTAAATCTCACTAAACCCGAGGAACACAATCAAACTTAATAATTTAATTATAATAGAAATAAGAGCACTTATCTATTATCCTAAGTGCTCTTGCTTCAACACTTGATTAATTGTTCCTTCTTGATTTAACTATACGACCACCGGTTGCACAAACGCTACGCTTTCTTCTATCTCATTTTTCAACCATCATCCCGCTTATTCTATGACCAGCACTTAAATAGAAGCTCTAAATTACATAAAACCAAGTCTTCTCTACGGAAAGCATTTTTCAACTGAAATCACAGTTGAAAAGATTATTTTACCCAAGAGGATTAGTAGAAGTGCGAATAGACCCATTACACTACTTATATTGAATAATGCACCCTGTCATCCCCAAGACTTAAATAACCTAAATATCAAAATGATTTAAATATATAAACTGCTGTTCGTAAAAAGATGCAACACCATGAAGGAATCATCAGAATTAAAGGAAATTTAATGCACAAACGACTTGTATTCGTACAAATAAATGACGAAAATTTCAAAGCAAAAAAAAAAACAATATTAAATGTCCGAAATCTGTAATTGGTGTAGCCACCAAGCGCTGAAATAAGTGCTGCTAAACGACGTGGCATGGAGTGAAACAGATTTTGAATGTCTGCTTGTGGAAGAGAATTCCATATTGCTTGTATGCGCAGCAAACTTTCGTCTTTTGAAGCTGCAGGACACGGATCACGAGCGAGATGCCGACCAACCAAATTCCCCACGGGCTCAATAGGCGACATATCGGTTGAATAAGCAGGCCAAGGAAGAAGTTGCATATGTTGGGCTGAAAAGAAGTCTCGAATAGTCTTTGCAACATGTGGGCGTGCATTATCCTGCTAAATGATAGCTCCAGGGATGCCTTAAAGGAAGGGAATGACTTCGGGCTGTAGCACTTCATGGACGTACCTGTTGCGATTGAGATTACCCTCCATTTGAAGCAAATTGGATCGTCCATGGTACGAAATTGCACCCTAAACCATAACTCCGGGTGTTAGGCCACTATGTCGTTCGATAATGCTCTTTAGAAGGTAGCATTCACCGGCATTGCGTCTAACCCGAATGCGGCTTTCATGGTCCCAAGAATTGAAGCGTGATTCATCTGACACACTAAAATATCAATCCCCATGTTAATCCTATGATGGCATTTTTTAAAAAAGATATGAGGTTGATATTTGGGAAATCGATAGTACTGTCTGTTTGGTTAGGAAGTACAATGATTCGACCCCCTGGTGCCTCCCCCTTTCCCGGACAGCATTTTGCCAATGCAATCCTGACTTGTTCAATTTATCATTTTACTGAAACAGCTCAGGGATTTGATAAAATTTCTTACTTTCATCAGGGAAATGACCTTTAAGAGATGTTATTTTAACATCTCCCGTTAATTGATGATATCCCTTAGGGATTTGATCAAATTCCTAATTTTATCATTTCTCTGCGGCATATCCACGTTGAAAATTGATTATTACAACGGAGTATGAACAAAATCGATGATGAATTTATGGACGTCAAGAAGAAGAAGCTCTTCACAGTTTTGTACTGCATTAATCTAATAAACTCATCCATCAGAAAAATAAAATCGACGACATTGAATGGTTGTCAATATATATATATATATATATATATATATATATAATATATATATATATATATATATATATATATATATATATATATATATATATATATATATATATATATATATATATATATATGGCAGCCAAAACCAAGCAGTCTTCGCGCGCAGGCGCAGCAAATCCAAACTAAAACTCTTGGACATTAGAGAAGAGAGAAAAGACGGAGGTTCGCGAGCAGGCGTCCCCGTCGAGAATTCATGAAAACCCATCTGTTACCTTTTTAATTAATTTTTATTAAGTTTTAAAATAAATGTGAAAAAGATAAAAGTCTTGGACCCCTTGTTGTCTCCCACAAATTATGGGGGCTCGGCCGCGATCGATAAAATTTCGATTTGAACCAAAGTCTGGACAATGAACAAAAGCGTCCGTGAAGGAGACGCTCCGCCATTTTTTGGAAACTTCGTTCAACCTGTGTAGAGGTTGAACTTTTCGAATACTCCGCCTGTGTAGAGGCCGGGATCGAAAAAATTTCGATTTTGATCAAAGTTTGGACAGTGAAAAAAAAAAGCCGTCCGTCGAGGAGACGCGCCGCCATTTTTCGGAAACTTCGTTCCGCCTGTGTAGAGGTTGGAACCATCGACAAATATTCCGCCTGTGTAGAGGTTGGAACCATCGACGAAAATTCCGCCTGTGTAGAGGTTGGAACCACTGACTTAACACCTGCGAAGAGGTGAGATCTGTGAAATCAACGTTTTTCTTCAATTATTGGATACATCGTACGTGCGAGCAACAAGGGAGCTAGAAAAAAAAGGTAGGATCTTTCCATATTTTTCTAAAATGTATAAAAACGCTCTTAAAGAGGATTTCATAAGAGTTGTTGAGGATCTAGACGGTACTGTGGAGAGTACGGACAATATTGCTAAACTAAAGACTAAAATTGAGAAGAGTAGTACATTTGAAAGTGATCCAGATTTCGTTAAAACTTTAATTAAAAACTGTATAGATGAGAGGGTATCATGAAACGAAAGAGAGGTAACTTTAGAAAAACAGAAAATTGAGCTCGCGAAACTACAGTTAGCAAAATTAGAAAAAGAAGTCGAACTTCAAACGGCTAAAAATAAAGCATTAAATTTAAATCCTGCAGCTAAAGTCGAAGAGAAACAGTTCGAAACTTTAAATAAGGAAACCGCAACCCATATTGGCATTCGAGAAGCAGAAGATTGGTTTAGGCCTATTGATTTAGCTAAAGAGTGTGATATTTATATTTCATCTAAAAACGGATCACGTAAGGAAACTCCTATTACTTATGGATATACCCAAGACCCCTTTAAAAATAGATCACAAAACTTTAAACCAGAGATTAAAGAGAACTATCCCCAAAATCTTGAAAGAGAAAATAAAAATTGCTTTATATATGCGGTGATTCATCTCAGTACACAAGAGACTGTGAGAAGCGTTTTAAACCTAAAGAATCTAACAGCCACATCCATAATAGAATAAACGTGAATACTTTGAAATTCGAGAGCGAAAAACAAAATAGCGATGGGTTCGCACAATTTCAATATGTAAACATTTTTGTGGAAAATCAGCCCGTAACAGCCTTGATTGATTCAGGTTGCCAGATCCCAGTTTTAAATTCCTCACTAATTAAAGTGAACCAGCCTTCCGAAGAAATCATAACATTAAGTTCATGTTTTGGCGAACAGCGTATGGTAGAAGTTAAACCGATAAATCTTTTTCTCTTAATCAACACTCTCCCGGTCTAAGTGTTCGAACGGCAATATCACCGACCTTGACCGAAGAATTTATTATACATCCCAGTGTATATGCTGAAATAAAGAAACTAGGCCACGCAAAGAGCGATGTTTTATTGAGTGAAAGTGGATCCTCTTTGAGTGCAGATTTAGGTGCTTATGCTTATCCTAGTGCTGTTTCTTTTTCAAATGTTTCTTTTTCAAATGTGATAGAAAACTCTAGTTATGATTTGTCACATGTTAAAAACTTTAATACTAGAAATGATTCGAGTTCTCTAATTAAGGATTATAAATGTAATAAAATTAAGAGTACTAAGTTAAAATTGAGTATTGTAAGAGAAAAATGTTCTGATATAGTATTGT